GCACAAACTCTAGACGAAGGCTAGTGACTAGCTGAGTACCCAGGGGTGAAATCTGGGTCTGATCCTGTTTAACATCTTCATTAATTATCTCTCTGATGGGCAGAGTGTACGCTGGGATGTCCTGGTGGACACTAAGTTGACCATGACCCAGCAACAAGCCCTTGCCACAAAGAATTCTGATGTTTCCCTGGGCTGCATTAGGCAAAGTATTGCCAGCAGGTCAAGGGAGGTGATCCTTCCCCTCTGCTCAGCACTGGTGAGGCCACACCTGGAGTACTGGGTGCAGCTCTGGGCTCCCCAGTACAACAGGGGCACGGACAACCTGGCGACAGTCCAGCAAAGGGCCATGATGAAGGGACTGGAGCATTTCTCCTGTGAGGAAAGGCTGAGGGAGTTGGGACTGCTCAGGCTGGACAAGAGAAGGCTCGGGGGGATCTCACTGATGTATAGAAATACCTGAGAGAAGGGTGCAAAGAGGACAGAGCCAGGCTCTGTGCAGTGGCAGGACCAGAGGCAGTGGGCACAAACTGGAACACAGGAGGTTCCCTCTGAACATCAGGAAATGCTTTTTCGCTGTGAGGGTGACTCAGCCCTGGCACAGGTTGCCCAGAGGGGTTCTGGAGTCTCCACCCTTGGAGATTTTCAAGCGCCACCTGGCCATGGTCCTGGGCAATCAGCTGTAGGTGGCCCTGCTTGAGCAGGGGGATTGGACCAGGTGACTTCCAGAGGTCCCTTTCAAACCCAACTAGTCCTCCATTCTGTGATACACTCAACTCTTACTCAGAACGGGGCAGATACAAGACAAACCTAGAAACACAAAAAGCTGTAGAAACAAAACCTGCTATATTTATAATTTGAAAACCCTCACATCTATGCTGAGCACTATTTTTGGTTTTCCCTGTAGCACTGCTTTCTATACAGTTTTCTAGGTACTCATTACTTCCAGTCACTATTTTAAGTCTATTATGGAAAAAGCTTTTAAAAATTAGTTTCAGAGTAACTGGTATAGAGAACCATGCATAAAAGTTTCATAAGTGGCCCAGACAAAAACACCAAGCAGACTTACAGTAATCTTTGATAATCCAGAACAGAAAAAAACCCAGTCAGCTCAAACTGGAAGCAGAATAGATAAGTAGTATAACACAAATTATCTTAGAACAGTGACTATCAGCCTCTGCTTCAAGTTGGCTGGACACAGGCTGCTCTGACTGCTTGGTTCTGGATGTCAGGTCATTTAAATTATTTACATTATAGATTCACATATACATACATATGAATAGACTTTCATTAGTTACTCATATTTAAAAGAAAATATCATCCTAAATTGGCCCACTGGAATAATACATGAATAGGAAAAGGTGACTGGAGCCCTCCGAGTTAAGCATGAAGATAAACTATTAATTCAACAGTGTAGCCATGTTTCAATTCTCTGAATTTCACCTCCAATTAAAGGAAAGACAAGCACAAAGAACCATGGCATTTCATCTGACCAGGTTCAGACTTCAAGATTTCAGTCATCCTTACCAAGGGCTTCATTTTTTCCCTAGAGGAATACCTCAGATACTCAAATACCGAATTTTTGTATCACATTCAGGGCACACAATCACATCCACAGACTCACATAGAACTGTCATCAGAGTTACAGAGAAGGTTAACATTGCTTTTGAGCAAATTATATTCCTGAGTGTCTGGAAAGCCAAAAGAGTTTCTACAAATACCATGAGTATTCAAGATGAACATCTTCACCCCTGTATCTACCCACCTGAAGTAAAAAATAGTATGCCTTTATTAAGAGCAACAAAAAAAGGAGAGGATGCTCCATCCTTTGAGCCAAAATTTATAACATGATGTTGCTGTCTTTCACTGTCATTCCTGAAAAAGTCCTACAATATCCATAACAAACTTGTTAGAAGTGCAGTCATGTCAAGCACAACATACCATCACCCTGCCATACAGCACTCTTCAATTTCAATATTGCATAGGCCTTCTGCAACAAGAATTGCAAGAGCTGCCAGTCCTCCCAGGCAACAGCATTTTAATTTCAAATAGAAGAGGTCTTACGATGTACTGAGGAGTTATGGCACTGTCTTGCAAGATGACTGAAAGATAGAGACCTAGATAAGCAGATGAATCCCTGTTGATAGAAAAGCAACTCAGAGAAACAAAGAGAATACATCATGTTGTCTTCTATATCAAATATGCACCCAAAAGATATCCCGTACCTTTTGAGAGCGATCAGATGCAAAATGCCTCTAGGAAATTGGTAATGACAATAGTCAAGTTCCATAATCTGCCTGCGAAAGATTTGAGGTTACCATTAACCCAATTTGAGGTTACCGTTAACCCAATTTTTAAACACCCACTGGAACAACAGACTTCTGTATCATAGAAATAAGAAAGCATGAAGTGTATGAAGTTCAAACCGATTGCCATTAATTGCTTTGATTTAAAATATTTCAGGTCTTCATCTGAACCCAGGACAAACAGTTTTTAGCAGTCGCTTCCCCTCAGTGGCTATATGCAAATTCTGTAAGCTCTAAGTGGCAAAATGCTGTATGCAAAACTAAATAGTTGAATATATTCCTAAATTGTTATTTTGAAAGCATAGACCAACCCAAGTTCAAACATTAATTGCTTCAGATAAACAGTATTGGAATGATTTTACCCTTCTGATTAAAACTTGTTTACATCAGATATTTACATGAACTGTCAAGAACTGCCAAATGCCAGATAAGACAGCTACGCTTGCCTACGCAAACAGCGCTCACACATACACACAACATCACACAAAACCGACAGTTACAACAACGAACAAACTATTTTATTTCTGTTGATAGATAACAACATCCCATTGAAAATAAAGAATAAAAAACATATTGTGCTACAACAATTTGAATGCTTGAATCTCACGCTATAGCACACCGTGAAATTCTGGTACTGCAACATCAGTAATCCCTGTGTACACAGGTGCACAGAAAGCCTTGAACAAATATTTATACCCATAATAGTGCCATGTACAAAAATGTCATTCCATAAAGGCCAAACAGAAAATTTAAACATCTTTGTTTTTCTTATGCCAATGGCAACGTAAAAAATGAAAACTGTTTCCAGTCAATTAATTCCACTTAAATCATATGAGATCTTTTTATGCTAAAGAACCCTGAAATTCAGCACAATAAAGCGTGGAAGAAGTAAGGTATAAACAATATACAGAACATGTGGGGCATGATGTTTTCCTCAATATATAGCTAATTTTCATATAGTTACACCAACAATCAAGTCAGCATTTTCCTAACACAAAGAGAAAATATTCTGTTTCTCCAATCAATGCTCTGACCTTTTCTTACTATAAAGAGAATGCTTGTATTATTCATCTAAGCATACACGCACCACAAAAGATATGCGAAACAAATCAATATAGATAACCTTTTGTGTCAAATGTCTAATGATGTAATAATAAAAACAATTCTCAAAGTCCAAATGACGTGCTAAATTAAGTGCAGTCACTTAAACTAACAAAATACTTGGACACTTATGAGCCACAAAATTTATTATTTTGCAGCAGTATCTCTGCTGAAACCTGAGGAGTATCAGACTATAGGTAAAGCAAGGCATTTTCAGAAAAGGAATTTGTAAAAAATACGTTTATACTATATGCTTTCGTATAAAAAGGCAGTAAGAAATACAGTAAAACCTACCATTTTAGGACTACATCTTCCCCAGCAAAGAGTTTTTATCACTTGCACTATTACATACAGTACATTCAGTTTCCTATGCAGAAGTATATGTTCTTGTCCCTGATGTATATTACAATTGGCAGTGACAACAAACTGCTTTATTATCACTACTCATTCTTGCAGCTTATACAAACAGCACCAATTTTACCCAAAAAAGGCTTATTGGTTACATAGTAGCACTTCCTTATAGGAAATATAAGCCCAAAACATTGGAACCGAATGTGTCTTTCCAGAAATATACCAGAATATATGGCTCAGAGTTAAGGGATGAATAACCAAGAGTATTGCATAGTACAGGGATCTCGCCTGTATGAATAAACCCACTCTTTGATTGTTTGTCACCTTCTGGCTCCAAGAATGGATAACAAATTAAACAGGTGCTACTGAATATGAAAGTAGTACACAGCTAAATTCACTGGTAAAAAAAAAACCAAAAACCCAAACATGAAATTGTACAGTTCTCTCTGGCACAGTGCAAAGTACACATTAAAAAACTGAATACATATGTACAGTGTGTATGTATATTTTTATATATATAGTATGTATTTCTCCGACACATACACGTGTATATATAAAAAGCATGAACACACATATCCATGCCAAACCTAGCAAAAAGATGGAATGTTTAAAATGTGGATGTATTGTTCCAGTTAAATCAGTCTGTCCCAGAAATGGCTGTTTATACAGCCAATATGCCCTTCCATGAAACAGAAATATTTATTGCTTGTATAAGTTGACAATATACCGTACATTTGTCCTCATAACTTATCAAAGGACTGATAATCACACTTTATAAAAGTTTATATTTGTATTAAGCCCTCTTCTCCATAACCCTTCCCTCCCCACACATCCCCCCCGCAAACAATTCATATGGCTATTCCTTTTATGGGAATCTAGGAAGAATAATCTAGAATAACGTACTAGAGTACTACTCTGCTGGAGGACCAGACACAGTATTGACTACAGAGATGCGATCTTCTATTTTAAATTTCTCTTGCAATATGAAAGTTTACAGCCACCCCTGTAAAAATTATTAACATCTGATGCTGGTTTGTTTTACTATTTTCCTTTGGGATTCAGCTGTTTTGGTTCTGAATATGAACACGTTGGCTGAAGTCTGTAACAGAGAATGTACTTTTCAGGATTCGGAGAGCACTGTTACCTGAACCTGACCTGCCCACTCCCAGTATGATCAACTGTCCTTGCCTGCAAACTTTCTGAAATAGTTCACAAAATACTTGTATGCAATACAGATTCCTCCCCCACCCCCTTTATCCTGAATGTCTTTTTTACATTTTGAGAGCACTTTCAAAAAATAAAGATTATTTATATCAGCAAAATAGTTTCAAATAAAGGCGATGGCTGTGAACCTGAGAGCTTAGTGTGATACGAACACACATATTCGTGGTATCTCCCCCACTGGCTAGTACTTTCCTTGTTTAAGTCTTTCAATGTGGTAGCACAACTTCAGGGCAGGCCCCAGCTTCAGTCCCATATATTTCATTATCATATCACTCCTCAGTAAGAGCAGTGCCTTCCCATCGATTTCCTGTGGAAGAGAATAAACACAACAACATACAACTAGTTTAACAAGCTGCATGATAAAACTGGAAAGTACATTATATTTGTTTATATTGTAGTAAGAATTTATCTACTATATATAAACCAGTAACTTAGTATAACTTGATATTTACAGATGGCCACTGAAATTGAATTTATTTTAGTATTTTTTAATATATGATTGAGGTATTTAAGTTGCTAAAGAAAGTTATAGTAAGTGAAAGAAACTGACCAATTAGGTACCAGCTGAAAAAAAAAGTGGTCAAGGGGAAAAAGAAAAAAAAAAAAAAAAAAAGCAGCTGCAAAGGAAAGTCTGTGTAGTTCGAGATTAAACAATCCAAGCACTGAGGCCTTGCACTGAACCTTGAGCACAGCTGTGGGAGGATTCTGGCATGTGCATGCAAACAGTCACATGGAGGAAGAGGTTACAGACCATCTAAATCTGTGAAATAAGACAGACCTATGTCCAGGTTAAACCAGATAGATTGTTAGGATCAAGACCAAGGACAACTCCAGTCAGATTTCAACTGCCTGGTTGAGAAGCTGCTGAGATGTGACAGTCCTAAGCTCTTAGTATCATTACATACTGTAGACAGGCAATTAGTTCCTTAAAACACCATAAAGAAAATGACTCTGTCTTATTTTTTTTAAACATAAACCTGACAAAACAAATGACATTTAGTCTTGTTATACAACTAGGAATAAAGCATAAGACAGGAAGCTCCATTAAAAGTTATTTTGAGTTATCCTTCCAATCCAGCTTACTCTGAGATTTAGCTGTTAGTAGGAGCTGGTGCAGAACAAGGGTGAAATACTACTAAAGAGAAAGCCAAGCTCTTTTTGGAGGGCCAGATATACAATGAAATAAGACAGCAACTTTTTGCTGAGCAACCTGCCATAGAAAAGCACAGTGAGAAGGAAGAGGGGAGACCAAAAACAGCACAGAGAAGCTGACACAGTTTATCTCCCTACATAAAACATCTAGTTTGATCTTATGAAACCCTACATCTTGGTTTTCAAAACAGATTAATTCAACATTTCAATTGATTCTCTGAATTTTAGTACTAATGACCAAGTGTAAAGCTAATGAGCCGTAACAGCATCTCTACTTCGGGACAATCAGTCTCCAGAACAGACTGTCTTAGAGAGATGTCATCTCTGTAGGCCAAATGCCCCATGCTGTACCTCAGAATGCCATCTTCTCTAGAGGTACCAGGGATGACAGAGGTACCAGGGATGTTGGCCATTAGAACTTGGATACTTCCAGTTCTATATTACATTAGGTATTAGATACTTCCAGTTCTATATTATATTATTCCATATAAGCTGGAAAGCAGTGGGTATTTACTTTAGTCTAGCAAGACTGGAACACAGAGAAATATACTGCAGGAGGAGTTTCAGGTGGAAAAATGTTTTTCAGCCTTACTCTAATATACGAGTAGAGTTTATTCTACCTTCAACTGCAAATAGAGTGACAGACACGAAAGCTGTATTTTAAGAGATTAACGTAACACACAGTCCACTAGAACAGAATGGATATGCATCTTACGTGTCTCCTGAAGAGTTCTGCATGTGGAGCTAGTGCCTGTGGATCAGCTTCTTTCACAAAACGCATTACTTCCTCTATCGACCAGGTGGAAGGATCTCTATTCAATATTCTTGAAGGTTCCCTTTTTAGTGAATTCAGATCCGGTCCAGTTGTGGAACTTGCAGCTTTTAGTATAAAAATATTGTGAAAAGAAGAAGTATCAATAGTCTATACAGGGATAACACATTTCATTTCACATTCTTAATATTAACACGCTGCTTTTATTTTTTGCAATATATTAAAAATGAAAGATGTTTCATTTTCCTCCAAATAATACTGAACTGTTCCATCTGTCTTTAAATGCCTTATATAACAGCAAATATTTACAGCAGCATAAACATTAGCACTATGACATACCTAGAGGGATTAGTTCAACTTGTACTTGGCTCCTGGGTCCCAAGATGCCATTAATTGAATGTGGCAAAGGCAAGTTAAGCTGTGCAGAGGGAGAGACAGGAGGAAACCCTATCCCTGTATTTCAGCAAAATGGTAATAGCCGAAAAGACGCTCAGGAAGTGAGCTGCACATAACTACCCGTCCTTGGTCTGGCTTGCTGCAGAGTCCACAACAGCAGTGAGAAGAAGATGCAGCAGGCAAGACTACCATCCCTCCGAGGCTGCACCGCAGGTTCTAAGAGGCTTAAGTTCTGCATTTGCAGTCACGTTAGCAAGCCTGACATGCTTGGCAACAGCATAACATTTCACTCCATATGCAAGCTTTTCTATGGCAAAGAACTTCTTTATTCATAACTCATGGACTTTGTATGTTAATAAAAGCAGTTACATATTTTGGAAAGTTCAGTTATATAGCACACCTTCAATCCGCCTCTGGATTCGAGTTCTGCTAACTTCATAGTAACCGCTGCTCCCAGCAGAGCTCAAGGACAGCCTGCGCAGGACTGGGGCTGATTTTGAGGTAGCAGTCACTGGCTGAAGGGAATTTCTGAAATATGCTGCACTCCCTGGAGTATGATATTCCGTGGAATTTCGACGGGCTGGGCTTGAAGGATTTACAGAATTAAGTGCAGAATCCATAGAGTCCTCAGAAAATCGGTGTTCTTTGGAAATGCTGTTTTCCTCTATAGGTAATGTTTCTGCTACACAAAAAGCAAGTATCAATGTGTTCAAAGTGATGGACACTATACCTTTGTTATTTAACTCCTTGCTACGTTCTCTTGAAGACACTGACAGATTGTAAGCCTGTTCAGAAATCTCCTGCAAGGCAATCACTGTTGCTGAATGTTTGCCCCTTTTCCTCAAGTAACCATTGGGCTCTTACTGTATTTTTAAAACAAATTTGGTAGCAAAAGATTTAATATGTCAAGTTTGAAACAGTCTTCCATAAATTATTCCAGTTGTATTTGTTAAATACTATGAGCAGGGAAGTGACACAGGAAGTTTTTTTTGGGTAAATTTGTCTGACGTTAATATTGATACATCGAACAATCTTAGTCAATCATATTCATTATCATTTTTAAAACATATTCTCAAAAAGCTAACCATTAAGAGTACGTTACATTTATCTTGCAAGAAATTTTAATTTTTATAAATAAAAACTCTCGTGTTAACTAACAATTGTTTAATTTGTTCTAAACAGCAGAGGGAGTCACTAACTTCATAAACAAGTGGACAATTATCATCTATAGATCCCAATACGATCAGACCCAAAGGCCTCCATTAAAAATTGAACAGGTTATGGGCAAAGTCACAGAAGGCTGTGAGTGCCAGGTACGGCACACTAACGTAACACATTTTGACCACAACGTTGTATCTACATACAGGTAGTTCTGTGCATGGGGCAGGCTCTATGAGCATACACTCTGGAAAGCTATTTTTTCAGGTAAATTTTGGGTAACAAATTAAATTAAACCCCTCAAAATACATGTAAATTACTGAACTCAGTAAGTTTTTTTTTTAAAAAAAAATCAGGTCTCAGGGAGTATAACAGCATTCAGCTTTTTCATTCTTATCACTTATCAGCTAATTTCTACTCTGCAAAACACAAATAACACCCGCTTAGAAGACTTCTGAATTTTTAGAGCCTGTCAATACTGATTCTAAGCCAGATGAGCAGAGTTCAGCAGATCCCTTTCCCTGTGCCATGAGACAGGAGCCATGACTGATTACTGAAAATTCCACTCTTGGTCAACTGAATTCAGGTCTGATTGGGAGAAACATGCTATGTGAGGAAAACAAACAAACAAACCAACCAACCAAAAAAACCCAAATCAATGAGAACACCACTCCATTCTCTAGCCATCATCTGTATTCTTCTCTGTTTGCACCAAGCCAACATCTAGCCTGAGAAAGAAGTTGGAAGCATGACGGACAAATCTGTATGAAACAAATGCTGCTTTGGCAGGAGAGTTAAGAGCTGGAAAATATAGCTAACAGGTTCACAGAGGTGTAAACCCCATGCTACCATCTTGAAAATTACTCTAGTGAAGTTATAAAACATATGCTAGTAAAGCAGCATTCTCTTTGGGGTAAGAACTGGTATGTTCTGCAAAACAAGTTTCTGAAATAAGCTTTTTACTACCTTTCTTATATGACAACTTTCAAGAATTCCTTGGGTGAACACCCAATTAAAACTAAAGGAAGATTATTTTCCTAAAAAAACCCAGTGAGCTTCTCAAACATGTTTTCAACTTGCTTCATGAGGTCTTCATTCTTCTGCTGAAACCTGTTTAAAAGTAGAGCGCAGTGAAGAACTCTTAAGCGTATTTTGGTCTTCAGACAGCATAATCCTGAAAGGGAACAATGGCGCTCAGAGAGCCAGCTCCCTACTTAGTGAATTCGGTAAGGCAAGATCTACAAGACAATATAACGTCTTTTACTAAACTTGATAGCCATGCAATAAAGAAGCTTTTATGGACACAAGCCCTTCTCTTTCATATACACAACCCTCAAAAGAACCACTGCAAAACTTTCTAGTTTGTTAGATTTGAATCACAAAAGCAAAGAAGCAGTTACTGAGGTTTTCAAAGAAAACAAACAAGAAAACTAACTTCTTTACATTTGTCAGCTTGAAGTAGTTGCAGCAACTTACCAAAATGAAAAACAAAAGCCACCATTCTACAGAATTTCAGAGAGACTTTAAGAGATGTAGTCAATGATACTATAAAATTAAAGGGTAGCCAACTGAGGGAAAATTAGAACTGTAGAGAAAGAAACTACTAACAGAAATACCAGTCTGAGACCAAAAGGCAGAGGTGATACTTTCAATAGTTACAGCAAAGCTATATGAAGCAGTCTAAGGTCTGACTGACAATCTATTGATTCAGATTTCAGAAGTCTTGAAAGGTAGGATGAAACAATGAACACAACACTCCTCAGCAGAAAATTTCAACTACAATATTTAAACATGCATCAACCAACTCCATGTGATGTACTAAGAAAAAAACCCACAACTTTTTGTAGATTTTATGGTAAACAAGCAGAGGTCCCAAATATAGAGGTTTTTTAAAATAATTGTTTTACATAATCCTTGTCAAGATTCTTGAAGACAAAAAGATTTTTTAAAATTGACTGTATTACAAAAGAATTTAATTGTATTTATTCAAGTTACATCCCAGATTTCTCTCTGATGTTATATATCCTGAAGTAAACAACAGTAAACAGGGCTAGGAAAGATCAACTCTGCTTTTTTTCCCCCAAGATACCAGCATTTGAATTTATCTTACTATAAATTCTCAATTCACATACACAAGGTGAAAAAGCTAGCATATTTCCCATCATGTTTTTAGAGAAGGTGTTTCTGTCCAGCAACTATGGTGTCCAATCCACTTTCCTTTCCATCTATCTAGCTTCTCTACAAATAAAACGCAGCTGCAATCTTGTCAAAAAAGCGGTCAACTAGTATGACAGCTGATTCAAAATCCGCATCTAGCAAATGGAGCTTTGCAATCCATGGAGCAACGAATGGCACCCTTCTTCTATCTCGACATTTTGAGCAGTTGTAACAGTGGTATGGAAAGAGATGGGAGGTTCTACTGCAGAATGCCTGATCTCTGGGTAGATTAATAAAAGGCCGTATGTTTCAAATGTAAGGATGACAACAGACTGTTTAAACAGTGAAGGCCTTAGCAGGAACCGGATGTTTTGTTTTCTTGAAGCTCTCTGGGAATTAGAAACCAGTTGTTCTGCCTCATACATAATGGAATGATGTCATCGGCCACAGTAGTAAGAACACTCTGTTTTCAGGGAGAGGGAGACTGAGTTATTTTCCACCCCCTCTCTATCTTTCCCAACTTTAAGAAAAGTGTTAGTAAGCAGGAAAGACAGCAAAATCTGCAAAACACATCCCTGAGCAGATCAGAAGGAAAATGAGCTGTCTGAAAGACCCTTTCCCACAATTATTCCATTTTGCCTTCAAATGATATTTCAAAACAACTATTCCAAGACAACTATGTCTCAATGGAACCAGAACTTTTTGGGGGCAGATCCTTCTTGTTAACCAGCCCATGACTGACCGCTTAAAATTACCTCCAGATTTTCAGCAGAGGACATTGCCCTAATGGGAAACACACAACAGTAGAGAACACTTTGCCTCTTGAAATACAAAGTACAAATTGAAACCTCTGAAACCATGGCAAAACACTTATTTTAATTATTTTTATCCAAGTAACTGCACTTTATAATGAACTATTGATCTTAAAACCTATTTTAAGGAGTACACTGACTTCTTATGTAAAAGGGATCCATTAGCAAACAAGCATTAAAAAGCAGTATGTGCACGCATGTTTACTTTGAGGAAGATTTCTTACAAGATAATGCAGATCTACTCAAACATTTGTTTTGCTCCAACTGAAACAACTTCATTTGAGTATAATTAAGTGCTCTACACTTACTAAGTTACGTACCAGAAATATTTGACTTAGGTGTACAATGTATCTGTGGAATTACGCCAGTACTTCTTTTGGAAAGACACAGAAATCAATAATCAATGCAGAACTGTATTTCATGTGGCTGTTATTATATACAAAAAAGTGAATACGCTACATATATATAAAATAACATGTACCATTTTAAATAAGTTACTGTTTTGAACATTTTAATTTGATATCCTTTTCTGCTTTAACTGTAGTCCTATGACTTTTTAATCTGAACAAAAGAGATCATTCTGCCCCCACTGATGCTAATCGACAAAATAACCCCAGGATCTCCAAAAAGAAGAAAAAAAAGTAACAATATGAAGGAAGAAATAACTAATCCCCATCATATTTCAAAAAGGCCTTTGGAAATGCTGTGCAAATATCTTGCAGCAAGAGAAAGTACGTATCAGATGGGATTACTCAACATAAACAAGTTACCATGGCTTAATCAGTTAAGTAGCAAACACAGAGTAAGAAAACCCCTAAGCCTCTCTCACTGAGGTTTGAACCTAGATGCTTTACTTCGCATCTGAGGCAGACTAAGACTAGACTAGACATACTCAGTTACTGCAGCTGAGCTGTAGTACAGGAAAAGGTGCTATTCATCAGTGAGCTAAATCAATCTAACAGTCAGCTGCCACAGGGAGGCTACGCTGCTACCCTGGCCTTTTATTCAACCTGACCTGCATTTTATTCAACCCTTCCCCGTGCTTATCTGAGTCCACGGTAAGTCAGTCCACAGGAGTAAACTGCAAACGACTCTTCCCTTCACCAAAATGTTTTCTGTGCTTTTGCTCACTGGTTCAGCTCACTACCCAGCCAGGGGGGCTGGGATGAGAACACAAGGAGAGCAGGAGCAGCACAACTTTCACTAGCAGCTAGCCATAAACTCAGCTGAATTGGATCCTTTAGCTACACCCTCACTCACTTAATGGCCCCAGCCTAGAGTTATTAAGAGTTGCTTCCAATTTATCTCCTAAGCCATTTCAAGGCAATTGGTTTTCTGCTAAATAGCTATATATGAAGCAGGAGGCTTCATCTGTCACCTATTTGCCTGAGCCCCTTCACAAAAAAGGTTTAGGAGGAGGACTGCTGGAACTTGCAGTAGATCTTCCCCAAGTGCAAAATCTGCACCAGTGATCAATAATTAACATACTTTCACCTTGACCTGTCAAAGGCTAGAGACAAACCAGACACATACGTTGTACTCGGTTATTTTTGACTGGAAATACCAAAACCATAAATAATCCTCATATATAATCCTGACATAATGTAATTACCTTCAGATGGATGAGCATCATTTCTGGGAAGCTTAGGGGAAAGAGGAGCAGTATATGGTGGGGAGTCCTGAGAGTACCGTTTAGCACTCCTGTTTTCAGGTATTTCTTCTTTTGCTGTGAAAAGGAAAGTCACGACCTATTATTCTAGCATAAATCTGCTCATGGGGAAAGTCCATCAGCCATTCACCAGGTTACAGTTCAGTTTCTTGTGTCACACAGATCCAGTCATTTCAATACAAATTTTCAAAGCTGAAGTACAGCTTAGTTCATACTGCCATCACCCAAATTACCTTGACCCTGGCTACTTTTCTGAAAAGAGTTAAAATTAAATGATTTTCATATGACAGACAGAATTATAAACAATTTCTCCTTTGGGGTGGAGATATTTTATTTTCTACAGCAGCACCTGGAAGACAGCTCTCAGACAGCTGTGAAGAAGCTTCACACCGAATATGAATCTCTGAAACTGCCCCGACATTGAGGTTTTCTCAGCTATGGCTCCTGGTAACCCTTGGGCTGGGACTTGTAATACTAGGGCCTGCAAACAACCTGATGGGAGATCTTGTACAAGTCCTTTCATTTCCTCTGCACTCTACACTCTCAGTGCGGCAGACAATACTGGCTTCATACAAAATATCATAAGCAGCCACCTGCAAACCCCACCTTTTCTACTAGAAGAGTGGACTGTACATAGTAGAATGCAAAATTTTTGGAGCCACCACTGAGTAAGGTGAATAAAGAGGGAAGAAAGGACCTTTTACTAGTGTGTGAAGGGCTAGACTGAATTCCCTTTCAGGGCAAGCCCCTTCTCATAAGGCAGTCAGTATCTTTCTGTATTTTGTGATCTGAACATAAACGTAACAAATGAAATGTGAAGTTTTAAGCTTCTCCTTTTAGCAGTGTCACAGTGGTACAATACATATGTTTCCTGGCTTGGCTACAAGGAAGAGTTTGCTGAACAAAATGATTTCTGCACATGTGGTATGAGCTATCCCATCCTGTCAAAGCATTACCACACTGGAACCAATTCACAAAGAACTGGAGGGTATTAATTTCAATCAATTCGTGTCATAGAAAGACAGATTAAAAGGTTACATTTCATAAAGCGGCCACCCTTCTCAAAAATATCAGCAGCACTTGAAAATAACAGTTGTTTGACAGTACCTGGTTTGTTTCTATCATACTCCATAGGACTGTGTGCACATCCCATGTAAGGGCTGAAAGGCTGGCTACTAAAGAGATTATCACACTGCAGGCTGTGGCAGAGTTTCTCCAAGAAGCGTAGGACAAACGATGCGCTGTTTACAGAAGGAAGATTGATGGCATGCTTTTCCCCATCAAAGGAAGCTGTGAATAAGAAGATGATGTCAAACACCTCCCAAGCATCATGAAGTATAGTAAAAGACCATCGTTCACTTAAAGGAGAAGACATCCAGATTTGATTTAAACCGCACAAGACGTGACAGGAGCAAACAAACATTCTGGTAGTTTAACACATTTACATCCAAAGGACTGATTTGACCTTCCATTGGATCCATACCAGTTTAGATTTGCTTTAAGAGAACTTATTTTAATAAACTAATTTTGGATTCACACCAGCATAACAAAACTTGCAACTATTCCCTCATCACCAAAACCTGACATGTAATTTCTGTTGTTTGCTTATAAACCAGCAAGTTCTCCACTGCCTATTTGCAGGAGATAACACAGAAAAGACCCTTTACAGTACTTGCTGGGAAAGAAAAAAAAAATTTAAAAAAAGGAAAGGAAGCAAACAACTTTTTTTTTCTCAGTTTCTGACTGAACTGAGCATATTTGTGGTAATGTGCTGGCATTCATTACCATTGAAATTCTGACTATAGAAACTGTTTTGCATTTGCTATTTTATTACCAGAGAAATCTATCCTGCTGTCAACACTACAGTGGTCAAGCTCCCATTTATTTCAACAAGAGCTAGGTGGCAGAGATACCACAACAGCCTCAAATAGATCTGGTGTCTTTTAAACTGTGTGATTACAAAGACCCTGGACATGTGCGTATGCCTTTTATTTGTTGACCTCTTTCCTTGCTCCCCAGAGTGTTGCGGCTGATGACATTTTCCTTTTTTGTGAAAATTAGTAAGATTTTGAAAAGACTCACTACTACCAATACACAGATAAATAATTACCAGTACATCAGCTGAAACTTTTAGTTACTTCTGATTAGAATGACATTACAACAAAGCAGGAACAAACTTGTAACTTAAGCTTACGGCTAGAAAGAAGCGGCATAAACACCAGGTTTATGCATCAATTTGTCTTCTTGGTTTTCAGCCTGTCATGCAGCTTTCTGTTGTTAACATAAGTTTCCAAGCGATAAGTAGAGCTTTAAAGGATCACATTTGGTTGGTAGCAGATGCATATAGAAAAAAAAAAAAACAAACCAGAAATGACAAGAAAGCCTTTATTCACAGATCTGAATTAAGGAACGTTTCCATACTGTGTTACAAGAGAGACAGATAATATACACAAAACCAAAGAGAATGCCCAAGTTTAGCATATTTTAGGCTTCCTTAGGAAATCAGAAGTGTCAATTACTTACACTGTTGATGTAAGGAAGCCTCTGATTAGAGTTACTGCAAGTTAACCAGCTAGCACCAGCAATATGCTACTTCTCTCATCTGCTTTCATGACAGACTGACCCAATGCAAGTGCTTAAAGTTTAAGAGTCAGTACTACAGGGACAAACCCCAGACCAACATGTTTCCATGGCCCATTCAGTTTTTCCAGGCTCCAACGTTCATATGAAACGCTAGTGATTCGCAGTCCCACATGTGGCTCAGACACAAGGTCCTCTACCTCCTGTTTCAGGAAGGGGTCTCCGAAGGCAAATTTTTGCTTGGAACTCAACCAGTTCTGGAGAGCAAATGGGCTGTGAGACCAAGCACAGCCTGATCTCCTGACAAATTTACTGCAAGGTAGTAGTCAAAATTTAAAACGCTTTATAATAGCCTTACAGATCATCTTATATGACCTTGGGGAAATCACTTATTCTCCACACCTTAATTTCTCATTTTGAAAAGAAGCACTGAAAAGAACAATATTATCTTAGAATTGTCAGGAGGGTAAAGCAAGAAACAGCTGAGGCAACGTGACTGCCCCAGCAAGACATACCATGGGAAAAATCCACAAATAAAGACTCAGTGCAAACACAGCTCCCTTGTACTCTGAACACCTGAGGGCAACCGCACAAACTCCAACCAAGGGTGTGGGGTCCAGATCCAAAGACTCAACTGTCTGCTCTGCTTGGGGACAACATAAGCCTCTTACTTCCCAGATAAATGCTAGGGGAAAAAATAAAAAGGAGTACTCCTGTGGTGCAATAACCTCAACCTTCAACGACAAATAAACAGGGACTGGCATTACGTGTGCAATCCCAGCCTCTGGGGTGAAGAGTCATTCTCATTTCTTCACCTTCCATTGTGTAAGTATGTTTTAAAGACCAGGTTCAAGCCAGGAGAAAAGCTGAGAGCTAAACTATCAGAGAAATGTGTTTGTCTGATAGTGAAGAAACTCACCCAAGAGTCTGATTTTAATTCTCTGCTTGAGAAGATATATCTGAGCCTCAGTCTATTTCATCCCACCAAACGCCATAGTCTCTGCGCTACAAGGAGAAAAAAAGGGGCTGACACCACCACCACCATTAGTGGGCTTGTTAATCAAGCCTTTAATTTCCTTTCAGTTATATTTGCCTGAATTGAAACCTTATGCATCAAGCAAAAATAAAACAGTTTGTGCTTTTATTTGAGTAAGAAGAGATGGAAAAATCCTAAATTCAATTCTATTCAAAACAATTATTTTCTTTGGCAGCTGAACCAAAAGAACTGAACCCGCTAATTATTCACATGTATTCTAGCAAGATTCTTTTATCCACGTCCTCATCAGCATACAGTTTCCTCCTACAGCAGGTATAATACTCATCATGAAAGTATCAGTCCACAAAAGATTTAAATTTCTTCACTTACTGTCTGCTGCAACGTATTCCTTTTTCTTGCCAGCCAAAAAAAAAAAACCAACCCAACACCAAAACCAACTGAACAACAAACCATACTCCAAAACCACTTTCAAACAAAAACTCTACAAGAAAACACTCTCACAATTTCATTCCATAATTCCTCATTTTGTTCTACTGTAGCTTTCCTCTTCTTCCTTACTGTTCACACGCACAGCTGGTTGTAATATGCTACATTAACCTAAGTCACATTTTGTGCTTCTCAAAATACATCACACACAAATTTTGGACAAAATGACAGGGAGTGTTTGCTCACCCACTTCTCGGCAACTTTTTCAACAGGCCAGTGAGAAGGCAAGAGCTCAAGAACCCCAGAAACCCACTGGGGTCTTGTGGCTCCCTATCACCTGGACCAGGACTCTGCTTCAGGAGCAGCGCACATCACCAAGTTCCTCAAATCCAGGGCTACAGAGCTGGTTTCTCTGAATCCAGGCCTTGCGGTGAAGCCAGGTGCAGAACAGTAATTCCTTTCTGTATAGAATTTTTCAATTCTGTGGTTGTAAACAAACCACAACTACATAAAGATTCTGAAATGTCTCTCTCCTCTGTGAAATAGCTATTTTCAACTACTCAGTCACAGCCCAGATACGATTTAGTCCTTCATGATAAACAATCACAAACAGAATGCTAGCAATGCATGTCTTCATGCCTTCTGTTCAAGGAAATTGACTTGTCTGAGTTAGGTACAGCAAGTTATTAATAATGTAATAAACTTTCATATATCTTGCAAAAATAAAGCAATACGGGTTTCAAAACCATACATATACAATGCCATTAAATCTTTACTACACAGCAGAGAAGCAGCATCCATTTTGTGAACAAACTCATGGGGATGCATAAGCAAGGCTTACTGTAGTTCTGCAATGCACAGGTCAGGGTGCTGTTTTTTAAATATTGTTAGACAGTAACATCTTTATGAGGTTTTAATTGAACCTGTATTCCACTAATCATCTTTCACATCTGGCGTTAATGTAAGGAGATTAAAGTGACACAAAGTCTTTTTATCGCCCATGATGGAATTACAAATTGATGTGCTATATAGAGTATTTCCTAGCCTAGAAGAAAAAAATGTCAAGCAACAGCTATTCAGTTTGAGATACAGAGATAATTTATCTGTAGACCGGCCATTAATATGTAATAGAAATAAACCTATTCCATAATAGGGGACATAGGTGGATGAACACTGACCAAAGATACTGCTGCAATTCTGAGGAATGGAGGAAGGCAAGAAATAGCAACTTCAACACGTGGAATCATTTGCCTGGAAGCTAAACAGGTTAGTTGAAAACTTCTCACCCACTTGGTTAAGGCATTAAGAACACAAACACTATGTATGGATAAGATTATGTGAATGACTTTAATAAAGCTGATTATTGCACTTGTACTGAGTTTACTTGACAAATGTTTAGCCACAGCTGCTAAATGAAGTGCACGAGCTCTACTTAGTCTAAGAACCTAACTGTACTGCGCCTATGTAATTTAACACTGCTGTTGCTATGTCCAAATCATCCTGGATCCAGAGCGAGGTAAGCCACACACCACCAATGCTCTCTTAGTAAAGGACTTCACAAGTATACGTTCTTGACTGTGCTTAGTTACAAAAGTGATATAAACTCATTGCAGCTACTTCAGTTCTTCTGCCCTACCTCAAGTTTGCAACTAAGTGAAGAAACAGAAGCAGCAAACCGTCTTCACATACCAGTTATCATTTCCCCGCCGTGGTGGCCAGATTTCAGAAATCCAAAGACTGTTTTGGATTCATAGGCACAATCCACGCAAGCCTGTACAGCCTGCTGAAGTACCACATTGACAGGACCTGGTCCAAAGTGATCTGGAAGCTGCTGAAACTTCTTCTTATCCAGGTGAGGCCCAGAATTTCCATGCTTGTTGACATAAACACACACTAAAAAAGAACAAGCCATATTTACTGCCAAGAAACCAAGACATTTCCAAGTTAGAACTGCAAACAGTCTTTTTAGTTTTAATCTTGAGGAAAAGAGGTACCTGTTAACTCAAGAAGCTGAACACGCACACTTTATATACTTTCAAAGCATATAAAAAGTGCTTTCTCTGTCTTCTGTCAAGGTTCTCCTGCCCGAGTCCTAAACTCACTTCTTTCTGGTCTCTAAAGCCCTTCTCCCTGACTAACATAACAAAGCTGTCATAATCTGTGCTTATCTTTTGACTAATCTCTGTTCATACAGTAGTTCCAATAAAGCAAAAATTACTGGCAGGTACTCTAAACTACCAAGACAGAATTCTAAAAAGCTGGCCTTACCAAGTTACTGCCCTAATTTTTCTCCTATTTGAGAAGCTGCAACAAAGACAACCCTATGGTATATACCTACCACCAATGTTCATTCTGAAGCATCCATATAGCATTAACATCTGCATGTATAATGGTCCTGTGTGCCTGTATAATGGCTACTGAAGGTCTGTACCTTCAGAAGCCCCGAACCACTCGTGTATGATTTCCACACTACAACTTGGCCTTCTCTGCTAAATAAAACAAACATACTTCTCTAGAAACACCGTAAGGTGGTTTAAAGCTTAGCACAAAACAATCAATTAGGACTTTTGAAATTACTTTTTGTAGAGACGATGCAAAACTGTTTTTCAAAAGGAACAGCAAGGCAGAAAAACATGGGAAAAAGCTGCAACTGAAGATTTTTTTTTCTTTTTGGTCTTGGCTGCCACGTCACCAGGAATGCACCCAAGACATTACTACAGTTTAATGAAAAATGTGCCTCTGTAGTGATTAAGCTGACAATCTAAGCATTCTGTTATACAAAAGACTGCCATATTTTCTGAACTGTAGTATTGTTTGGGCTTAGTTAAAACCTGGATTTTTAAAAATTAAGTACTTCTAGAAGCGTTTTAATGATCTTATGTTTTCATGCATATCTGCCCACTCTCTGATGTCTGAAAATTGGAGGAAACCTATTTGTACAAAAAATCAAAGATACAAGTCAACAAAAATAGTTTTCATGGCAACTTCTGTCTGGGCTCAACAACAACTGCCTCCTGAAAAGTTTATTTTCCTAGGAAACGCATACACATTTTCCCCTCATCTATGACTGAAGCTGGGAGTGAGAAGAGACTGACAACTTCTATTGTAAAAACAGTTTTTAAATGTAAAAAGCACCCCAAACAAAATTATCATAATTTATGGAATTTTTAGAAACTTCTGAGATTTCAGTTGACAACATACAAATTGTTTCACTACAGGGTTACAAGTTCCTCAATGAGTTAGTTCATTTACTAGCTTATTTCTCTTTTGCCAATCCTTTTCAAGACACATTTCATTATATTTCAAAACCAAGCAAACATAAGAGGAAGGAGGAATGTATTTCCTCTGATTGCCTTTACTTTGTCTAAACAGTCTGAGTTGTTTCTTTTAATGTAAGGCTATGAGAGATTAAATCTCCATTTTGTTATATTACAGTACAGCCTGCATGATATCAGAATATCACATGGGTTTTTAGCTACATCTTTTCCCATTTCACACATTAAGGAGTGGGACAGACATGAAAGAACTGTACAGTTTCCTTCTTCAGACAGGAACAAACTGACAGGTCTAGCAGATCCATCAAAAGCCCTTGTGCTGCTCCAGTACTCCTTGCTGTGATGCAGGCATCAAAACACTAGTTCTGCAAAGTAACACTGGCACCTACAAATATCTTTGGAAAATAAGGTAGCTGGATAATGATTTACAGTAATAAGTTTGCAGCATGTTACCATAAGATTACACCTCTAGTTGGCTTGAAATGGAAGCTATTTCACACTAAAAATGTCATTAATTTTTTTTTTTGTCTTTTACCTGTGGATATAACTGCTGCAGTTGCACCGGACAAACTAATTCCATCTTTAAGTATCTGCGTAGTGCCACTCTCCCCCTCAGGAGAAGAATGAGGAGAATGAGATACAGGAGTCAGTTGTTCCAGCAAGACTTTTTTCTGTTTAGAGAAAAAAAAAAAAACGTCACAGTGTTTAATGTTTTTTAAGGAGTCTACAAAACCTTTCTGCTATCAATTACTATCTTACTGAAGTATGTGGTTCCTTATTACAAAGGTACTACACACAGCAGAGAAGACAAAGTCCAGGAAAGGAAGACCAGAAACTGTCAGCTGACATTTACAGCTACTTAAGTAAGGCAATGGAAGACAAATGACTTAAAAAGGAACCCACCTCTATCTAAAAAGTGGGAAAAGAATGAGCTTTATATACTAATTCATGATCCTTCTAAATCTTAGGAAGGACAGAAGAGGTGTTTTGGATTATTTTCCTGTCCATACCCTTCCAATCATCTGGGTTTATCACAACTCAAATCAGTTAGTTGGACTGTGTATATATTCCCATATAAAACTTGAGTCACATGTAGGTGTCAACTTTACAGTGCACCTAGATTTTCCCTCAGTTTGTTCCAAAGGGGCTGAAATTCTCAAATAATCACTTTCAGCAATTGATGCTTTACGCAAGATATCAAATAAACCAGTAGTTACAATCCAGTCACGTGGGTTGCCAAAAGCTTTTCCTTTCCCAAACCAAGCTTCTTTGCAGCTTATCATATGACAGACAACCAGAGTTCACAGCACAGAGATTCAGAAATTGGTCAATGTGCACTACCTTCCACCTGAGGAAAGTAGAATTTTGTTGTAATTTGGTTTGGACTGGGGTTTGAGAGAGAGACATGCACAAGGAAGGCGTTTCTAATGAGCCTTGACATGCTATGAAAATACATGGAAATAAATAATGAATTGGAGAAAAGTTCTACACTTCCACCTTCACCATTTACTCTCGCATGAGAACAGATTATGTTCTCATTCTCTTACCTACCAAAAAAATTAAGAATGTAAGAGAATACTCAAGGTCTTGACACTGCTGAAGGCAGCAGAGACTTGGCTACTGGTGTGGTAAGGTTTTACTGTTAAAATTGATCTACAGTGAAGTGAAAATTCAGTCAAGTTGCTAAGGGAGGCTAAGCTCTCTTCCATTTAGCAATATTCATCCTTTACACTTTTAGAAGCAGCATATTTTCCAAATACATATATTAAAAATCATGTAGAAAGCAATCAAAATATACACCTTCCTAAGAGAAGCAGTGCTTAACTTCACACTTACAAAGAATAAATTAACTTTCTTCTGAAATCCAGGGCACTTTAAAGAAAATTTCTGTGCCTCTTACAGTTCAGAGAAGATAGGTTTGGTTGGAGAAACTACTTGACAATATGGCACTAGGTGAAATTGCCATGAACATAAGGAATAGACTGCCAAGGCTTGGCATTGCACTGTGAATGAGACAAGGTGGCTCAAATCAGACACTGAACCAAGCAGTGATGTATTGCTTGTGAGGAATTGCCTATGTATCTTAATATTGGGTGATAGAAAGGCCTCTCTCCATCCTTAATATAGAGAACAAAAACGCGCTTGGGAAGTCTGAGTTTTTGATCTTAAGTCTGGCATTCCCAAAGGCCGCTATGGAGCTGGGACTCTTTGTGGGGGGCAGTTGTCTGTCACCATGCTGCAAAATATGAGTGGTTGAGTTGAAGGGAAAGAAGAGGAAATAGAAGTAGTATAAGCATAAAACCAAAATACAAACACTAAACTGTAAGACAGAGGAACTACCCGCCCTCCACATTAACACATAAGAGTGGTGAGGCTAGCCAGCCATTTCCTAGCTTCTCCTTCAGAAGGAGAAAAGGGCATGCTTTTTGGAAATACACCATGTTATGCTTGCTCAGCTGAGGTTCTCAGTTTGTAACCCCGAACTGCTGAGCAGCAAACTGCGATCCCAAAGCGATGCTGTTTCACGAGGCAGCTCACATTCCCAGCAGGGCTTGGCACGTTGGCTTGGTCAGGGTGTCACCGGTTGGCCCTTGCCAGCTGGGAGGGCGCACCAGCTCTTGGCCTCCAGAGAGCACTGCTCACCGTCTGGCACCACGTGGCCAACTTCACAGGCTTTACCCTGACGCTTAAAAACTCTTCTTGTGGAGTCGAACTTAGGGCTGTGATCCACACTCAGACCAAGGCACTTTCTCAAGAAATTCTGGAAGGAACTCTTTGCATTATTTAAAAATAATGAAAGAGATGTAAAGAGATTTCTTCTTCATTATGACAGAGTAAAAACATACAGTGCAAACTGGGGGAGACAAATGGAAAAAAAACAAATCTCATACTTACAGAGAGGTACTTAGAGTATTTATTTACATCTCATACTTACAGAGAAGCTTAGAAAACTTTTAAATAAACGAGAAAAAAGACACACCAGCTCAACATTCCTAGCTGTGTAATAAAAGTTAATACCTGCACAATGATAAGCATTGCAGCATAACAAATGTAAAAGGGCAAAGAAAGTCAAACAACTCTACAAAGTATCAGGCAGAGAACAATCTCCCTAAATACACAGGTTTTGAACTACCACATAGCCAGCTCACACTTGAAGCACAATTACTTAGCCTGAAATCTGGAGGGTTTTTTTGTCTAGGTCTTGAGGCTTGTGGGGAAGGCACTTTCAAATCTCTAGGCACATACCATTTGCATTGTATTTCCATATGTATTGTGAGGTATACAGGCTGTATGGCACTCCACGTCAGATACAGCCTGTCTGTGCAGAACTCCCACAAAGCCCCATTTCTTCTCTTCACCCTTATGCTAACAGGTGTAAGAGTCCAAAGAAGAGTTTGCACATATGTATAACATCTTGGCAATTTAACCACATACCAAAACAATAACAACCTTCCGTGGTCTCAAAAGGAGCTAATTTTTAAAGTTTTTAATGCAAAAGTTACTGCAGTAAAACTCCCAAGTTAGATATATCAAACTTAGATTCTGCAAAACCTAACTCTTAGTTGCCTGGTCCCACAGCAGAGGCACCTCAGATTCACTGCCTCAGGACAGGGAGCGTCAGCAGTAACCCCCATTCCCCAAGTAAATCCCCCCAAGTATCTCACACGGACCAGGTGCCAAACGCAGTGCTCCAAGCAGACACTTTCAGACACCCAGCGTTTAGAGCCCAGAAACCTCCTCTAAGGGTGAGGTGCCTCCAACTATAATTTCAAAGGATACACAAAGCCTCTAAATTTCTTTTTCATGAGATGCAGACGAAAAAAATCTTACATGAAAATGCGCATCCTGCCACACTTAAGTACGTCCTTAAGATAGGAAAGTCCTGTGTTCAATGCTGACCTTCAAAGCCCCCCAGACTTATGGAGAATGCCCCATCCACCAAGTAAGTCTGGATTAGAGCACCTTTCTCCTCTTTAATCTGTATCTCTGTGCACTTTAATACACCAAGCAAGAGAAAAAGCTGGAGATCACTTACATCAGTAGCCTACCAATTAGGATGCCTGACTGGAAGGGGCAGGCAGCACAGGAGACAGTGCTCGGCTTTCCATTTCTGGTCCCCAGAATAATTTCTTACCTCGTGGTCATCATTTCAATAAAGTGCCTGCTTCCAGTTTTGTGCTACAGCCTTCTGAATATGCTCTAATCACATTACTTCACTAGCACTTTACACTGATCAGCACTATCACTGAAGCGAGAAGTCCCACCTGGGCCATTACTCCACCCCTTCCCACACACCACTAGCAATAGATCCCACAGTGATCCAGACTGGAGGACAAAACCCCCAAAAATTCAAATTTTTGAAACTTGGGGATGGGGGTGGAGAGAGGAAAAAAAAACAAAACCCAACCCAACCCAACCAAACAAAAACCCCCCAAACCAGAAAAAGCAATGCCCTGCACTCCGTCATTGGTGCTAATGCAATGGAGGAAGGAGCACAGGGACAGACACAAATTGTTGGGGGAAAGACACTGCAGAATTGCTACTCCTCTTTGACAGCCTGCAGGGGGTGAGCAAGCCTCAGAAAATATATTGTACTTCCTCAGCAATTCAAATTGCCCTAAATCTGCTCTGCTGTGATCCTGTCCTTCCTTGCAGCAATCGTAGCATTTATGCTTTTCTGGGGCAGAGCTGACAAAAGAAGGAATTAAGAGGGATGGATGCTGGGTTAGTTGTCTACCAGTTTAGCTCCCTGAACTAGCCCTCTCTGGGACTGTTTACTCACCAGCATTGGTGTCACATGGGAGTGAGAAGGGGGGGCTTACAGCACTGCCGATTTGTACCTGATCAAACAGCTCCAGAGGAGCTAAAGCTGGAGGCAGCTGCCAACATTCCAGGTCTGACTCAGCTTGGCAGGGAAAAAGGCAGAAAGGTATCACATCTTTCGGACTGGGGCAGAATTAGGCCCACACCTGGAGAAATGCATTGCCTGGAAAGACGTTTCCTGCTCCATGCTAGGTACTCCCTAATCCTGGAGATACTAAGAGATTCATTTGGCAAATCCAGCTGTATGTTTACTATGCCTAAATTCTGCAACAAAGCCTTCACTGTTCCTAATCCTTTGTTTCTAAACATGAAACAAACAAACAAAAAAATTACGCAAACTATATATATGGTTCAGTAAAAAAATAACCCAGACTAAAAAGCCTAAAGGCTTCCCTGGCTCTTGTAATTTTACTGGAAAAGGCTATTCCAGAACAGTATTTTTCAACACCAACATCTCACCCATAAATAAATTAGTGATCTTGTTCTGGAATAAAATAATCCACAGAAGCTTATACTGAAATATTCCAGAATAGCTATTTTAGACTTTTTCTTGTAATCAACTGCTGAAAACAGTAAAGCCCTGAAGGCTGAAGACAGAAAATTAAATAATAATAATTAAAAAAAAAAATCTCACTACAAAATTTTTCAATGTAAAGTAAAGTAGTAAGGACTAACCTTTTTTCCAGGTTTTAAACTTTTTTTCCTTGTTTTAAGATTTTCAGTATGAGAGGTGCTTTTTGTCAGGGGAATATTTTTAGGAGACCTGCCCTTCTTGGGAACTGCAGACTGTCCAGGGGGTTTGCCCCGACCTGGTTTCCTGCCCCGTTGAGCTGGTACCGGAGCAGATTTCTGTGGAGACTGCATTGAACGCCGGGTCACTTTGGAAGGGGAAGATTGGATTTTTGCACTGCTCTTTGTAATGGAAACTGAGGAAAAACAAAAACAAAAGGGAAGGGGGGGAAAACCTCAAAATGAATGATGGAAACCAACTTTTCTAACAAAGGCTTTAAAAAAAAAAAATGTAGTGCACAATTTACATAGTAAAATAAATATACTTGGATATTTGAACTTAAGTGGTTGGCATGAAACTATATCACTTCATTAAAGCCAAAGAGAGAACTCTTTACACCCATTCTTTCAGAGGGCCTTTCCTAAGAGAAAAACATTCAAATAAAAATAGAAAAAAAAAATGAATTAATCCACTCACCTTATAAATGCTTCCCATAATTTAATTATGATAAGATATTTATAAAGTGCCATCCATCAAGAAGGCCTTCAAAATACTTCACAAATCACACAGCCTATAATACATCCGTTCTCCTCTAAGAGCAGTTTCCATGATTACAAGACATGCCAACTACTTCTAGGGAGCTACAAACCAATTTTGAGCAGCAAAGAAAATCATCCCCCTGAAGAGGTGAAACTGATGATAGCAAAGTATCATTCATGAGCATTTCTCCGAGATGCTAGTTTAGAAAGTTAAGTTCACATAACTATACCTAGATTTTTCTACCTGGAGCCATCCAGACTTAAAATTTTATTTGGAAGAAGGACTTCTAAAAATCAAACACAAAGTATCATTTTTATTCATTCTTAACACTAAAGTGGTTCTCTGTTGAATCTCCCAACCCATTACAAAATTGATCCAATATGTATATGATGTGACTGTATTATAACCTGGTGTGAAGCTGCAAAGGTAATCAGATTTCATTGAACAAAATTTCCTAGTTAGCAATCTTTTCCACCCAACTCACTCTTCTCTGAAGTAATACTGATGATTTTATTTTAACAATTCCCTTCGCAACGGACAGATTAAAACACCAGAAGGATGCCAAACAACCTATGGATAAGGACATACTCAATGAAAAGATGTACCACACCAGGCTATAGCAGCACTTGCGGCCAACAAAAAGCAATTACTAAGTCCAAAAGTCCAACAGATACTCTATTTTGTTGGTCTGATTTGTGGCAGGCAGGCAGATGGATAAGTTGTGGAAGAGGTAGGTAGAAGATGAAAATGAGAGATTTTGTGATATCAAACCACCCTTGTTGCGAGAGGTGTGGGAAAGGAACAGACAACATGTTTGAAATAATTTGAAGCCTTTACACTAAAATTAGATGGTTTTCTAGTATCACGCTGCCTCTATCACAGCCTTTCGCATCTTGCTGCTGATGAAGCTCCTGTGATTCACCCTAACCTTAAATACTCTGAACTTAATGCGTTCATACTTAGAAGTATTGCAAGTTAGGGTTCAAGTGGGCTTTGACTGTGTCAGTCACCAGTGCCTGATCCAAAGCACTACTGCAGGCTGAAAGTGGAGCATAGGGGGCTGCTAATAGTTAATTTCCTGGATTTTTGTGAATTCAGAATATTTCCTCTCCTAAAATATTAGGATGTTGAGACTTTCTGGTAAACAAATAAAACACGAAATAAAACTCAAAGATACATTTGAAATGAGATCTTGAGAAAAGAACATACTCAAAGATTGAGTAACTGTTTTAATGTCTAGCTCTATGAGCGATATTCACCTTAAAAGTCCAGCACCTAGCTTTACAACTGTTACTTTAACTCCGAATTTTTATTCATGAGTTAACTGTTATTAAGTTTGCAATAGAAAATGTCACAGTAAGATGAAATACATGCTGCAAACAGACTTCTTATAAAATACAAGTACCACTGCCACACATTTTTAAAGCTGTAGGAACATTTACATACATTGCTATTTGTCTGATCCGGTTACTAATATAATATTCCTAAATGGCAGTTCAGAAGAAATCTCTTCATTATGGCTTGTTGCAATCCTAATACATCAAATACAGACATGATATCCTTAGGTATCTGAGAAGCACCACATTCCGGATGTGCAAAGTGATCGCCTTCCTTTTATTTATGTATGCCAAAACTTATTTTCATATGCAATAACAGCTTAAAATAAGATGAACAGAATTTTAACCAAATGCTGGCATAGCATTACTCTTATGTCTCCAAATTGCTGAATGACAGCTCGTGTTAAGCTGTACATCTGGAAAGCGAAATAATATCAACTGTATGCTGTAAAATACAGTACTACATATTGCATCCTGGATTACACTTACACCAATGCAAAATGGAGCTATTTTTATTTTTGTGCCACACAACTATACATTTAGCAAAACAATCATGACCTCATAAAGAAATGTTGTTTCACAAATTCTTCGTGACCCTGCCTATGCTGAAATCTAGCAAATGCATTTCTATTCTCGCACAGTAAAGACACAGTTAAGGTTAAATACACAACTAATTGCAATGGCAACAGATTCTAGGAGCACAGGTATGAGTTTTGGAACACTGGGCGATCTCTACTCCCTTCCAGAAGGGCATTTACTGGACAAAGCGTAACAATGCAAAGAGCTCCAACCACTTGCAGACTGCCCTCTTGAACCACACACATCAAGTACCCTTATCTCAGAATCTTCCTACCTGAATATTCCAGAGGACCAAATATTAGCAGCATTAACCATTAAGGGGGGGGTGGTGTCAGGTCCCATTTGGTATTTTTTCCTTCTGCCTAGGGCTGAAGCTGCTTTTTTCAATAGGCAGGACTGCAACAAAGCCCACGCTGCCTGGGCAGCCTCCCGGAGAGAGTAGCAAATGAGGCAGCTGCTATTTGCATTTGTTGATTTAAGAGAGGATGGGGGAGAGCGCAAAGGAGTGGGCGACTGCTAAAGTAATTCCCATATTGTCTTCAGGCTGTATTGACAGTGATCATCAGTCACCTGCTCGTACTTCCTTCACCCCGGCCTTCAGAGGGAGACCAAAGGTTACGCTGGGTCATAGGATCTGGAGGGAAATGAAAAGACATGCAAAACCAAGTTGCCAACCCACTGCATCTGTAGGCAGAGTTATCCCCACTAGGCCGCATGTTCCAAAAACTAAGACGTTTTAATAGTCTCATGAGAACTTGTTAAAATATAACGATGAAGAGAATAGAGAGGAAAAATGCCAAGCTCTGCTTGCAATTACTGCAGTATTTAGCTGGCATATTTACAACCAAAAAAGCACATTTGCCTTTTCAGGATGCTGCTTTGCATCACAAAGGCCTTCTCATTTGCACAAACAAAATCAAGCATTTGTGCGGTGTTGCTCTTCTACACAAATATCCACTGCTCCAGTTTCAGGAGTGGGGTGCATTGCATGGCATTCTTTCCCATGTCTCTTATTTACGCCCAAAAACTGCACCGGCATCCTCAATAACTAAAGAGCAGCGATCACACTGCACAAACGTACTTTACCATAGTAATGTTAGCAACTGAACAGTATTTTCAAAGTTCACAGAGCTCTAGTTATACTGTCATGTTAGTGAGGGCTATAGGTGACTACCTTCATGCAGCACACACACAGCTTTCATACTTCCAACTACTGCTCATTCAAAACTTTTTCTTTTTCTCCTCAAACTATTCCGTGAGAATCCCAACACCTATAAACTTTTTATCCAACATATGTAAGAGAAACCTCAAATCCAGTACCTTGGAACTCACAGCCTAAAGATGCACTGCCACAACTCAGTCCTCAGTCACACAAGCAGATCCAGTGAAGTCAACTGAGCTCATTTGCATAAGGATGACATGAAAGATTAGACTTTAGATGAGGGCCAAATTCTGCTTCTAGAAGCAGAAAAAATGCCCAGACACATGCAGGACTGCAAAATTTGACCCCAGAATGTTATCCCCAAGATCTCTTGCCAGAGTAAGTCAGTTATTTAAGACAGCTGTGAAATCTGAAGCTACTGAAACCTCCAGTGCTTGGGAAGGGGATGGGACAGATGACAGAAGTCTAAATTCTCATGTAATTCTAATTGGTAAAATTCCCTCCAATAATCCATAGTGATGGTTTCACTCCATGGTTTTATGGAAAGTGAGGAGAAAAAAAGGTTCAGATTTGTAATATTTAAACATTAGAAATCTACTGTTCAGTTAGTGTCACAGAGCAGCAATTGCAAGACACAACTTTAAAAAGCTGAAGTGAAATTACACAAAGCAAGGGAGGGGCCTGTTTTGCTGTACATTCTGTGAACACAGCATTGGTACCTTAGGTGAAGGTGCCAATTAGGACAGTAAAAACAGTAATTCAATGTTTAAACCAGCATTTCTTTCAAGACAGAAATTATTCCATTTGTACTGCAGTATTGTTCCTATGCCCCCACTGAGACACAGCTGAATGTTCTTCTGAGAATATTAAAAACCTGACTCTCCTCTCATCTACAGGGTTGGCTTTTATTTGTTTTGGTTTTTTGTTGTTTTTTTTTGTTTTGTTTTGTTTTTGTTTTTTTGTTTTGTTTTTGGGTTTTTTTTGGTTTTTTTTTGTTTTTTTTTTTAAAAAAAATAAAAAAGAGGTGAAGAGATTTAGCAACTTACTCTAAATCCATGTGAGCATTCCACAGCAGAAGTAATGGAAACATACCTCCTGAGCTCTAGCCTGGGATTTTAACTATAAAATTAACCTTCTTTAATACAGTAAGTTATTATCGTGATAGTTTTGACAACTGGCAAAGGAGGTGGAGAAGATTAGCAATTTTTCAAAATAGCTTACTGCCAAGGATTATAAAAATTTATGTCCTTATGTCTCAATTAAACACGAGAGCCATACAAAAGCATAAGTATCTGTAATACATGTCACCTCTTTCTATCTATGTTTGGAGTACTTCTGGTTAAGAGTCAGCTGCAAGATACTAATTGATATGTTGCTATGATACAAAATCAGTTACAAGTCATAATTTTGCTACCTAAAAACAGTGCACTTGGAAACTTCCACATCCACCTTGGCAAGACATGGACATTAGGGCTTACAATTTTCTGCTTTCTAGATTTTAGTTTTTGCTACCAGTATAAGAGAAAAGAAAAAAAAGGAGAAAAGAGAACAGAAAAAAAGAGAAAAAAAGAGAGAAGA